GAGTGTAATACCCATACCATATTTTTTGCACCTTAGCAGAGCTATGATTATGTGTATATATCGCTGCTGAAGAAAACCTCATATCCCCATTTTTGTCGTTTTTCATTTTTTGACATAATTTGAAAATGGCTGTTGCCCTTTATATTTGTGTGCAAATTTCATGAAGAATGGACCAAAAGAAACGGCCCAAAAATGACTTGGAGAAAAAGTCAGGTTCTATGTATGTACATATATATAGTATTATGGAGTATTTTTGTATTGTTTTCAGCTCTGACTCTGAGCTAATTTGGTGGAATGATCCACATAAAACACAGTGCTTTTATGTTTGATGTTTTCGCATCTGTGATTGTAGATTTGTCGGTTAACACTTAATCACAGACTAATAACGGTCGTTTATCAGTCAGAACAATTTACCAAAATTCACATCCCTAGTAGATACAAGGTAGGTGTGTGTGTGTAGGTGTGTGGGTGTGTGTGTGTGTGTGTGTGTGTGTATGTATGAATGCCTCATGTGTGCTTAGCTCACACTGTGCCACTTCATTCGGTTTTCCCATAATCCCCTGCTTTAACACTGCTCTCTCACTTTCTCACTCACTCACTGTTGAGCTGAATGCTTTGCTTGGCTCAGTGCGGCTGCAGGCCAGACATTCAGGTCAGTGTAGAACAAGCACAGTGTGTTTTCAGACTGAGAACACACACACACACACACACACACACACACACACACACACACACACACACACACGAACCCCGTGCCCTTCACTGCCTCTAACATATCACACTTTCATATTTATTTAAATTTCAGTTTAAGCGGTTGGTTTAGGTTCGGTTAATGAGGCTAATGTAGGTTGATAATGTCAGGCTGACATTTTTAATAGTGCATGTTTGAAGCAGCACTATTTCCTCATTGATTAGCATTCAGATGACCTTTCATGACCTATTTATAGACCTTCACTGACCTATTTGGGTGATGTATAGGCAGTCTGAACTTTATGGGCACATGGATTAAAGCCAGACGTACACTATACGATTTTTAGTCTGATTTGAACCATGATTTCATACTTCACACAAATCTTGACTAATATTTTAAAACTTGTTTGAATTGTACAACTTAAAACGCAAAAGGTTCCTGTAGCATGAGTTGGAGAGAAAGAAAATGAATGAGTGATTTGGTAAACAGCCAATCTGAAAGCTTGTAGAAAGAAAAAAAACATCATGCTAAAGTTGTCTGTCATTCTATAGCCGACATAATGCCCATATAAAAAACTGCAGGTCCAAGCTGTTTTTCTCTATGGGAATAATTAACAGTATTTTCAGATATCACCACTATCTCACGCTGTGGTTATTAAAAATGTTCCAAACCTGATACATTTCATCCTGTGTATGCTTTTCCCCCCCAAGTGTCACTGGATCTGCTGAATTATAAGGTCACTTGGCAGTCAAAATATGAATAATGCTACCTACAAACAAGGTACACTCCCGCACACTGAAATGACGTTGCATGATATTAAGTTTCAACATTTTAAAAGACCAGGGATTGGCAACGCAAATGTTAAGAAGAGCCGTTTTGTCCTTTCAACAAAAATTTAACCACCTTGGGAGCAACAACATTTTATGTCCACTTTACCATCTTGGCTGTAAGTATGTCTCAGTATGTGCTAATGTGCTAGTATAGGCTAAAAAATATATATATAATGTAAATATATATAATAACGAGAATGCAGACTTACTTTGCTCTACTTTAAGCTTTGGCTTTAATATAGCCACTTTTCTCACATCTCCGGCAGGAAACTTTTCCCCAAAAGTAGAATAGTTTCTTGTAAAAATGTTGCTCAACGTTTGACTTTTTAGGAGGCTGAAGTCAGCCTCTCATTTGCCAGATTCTTGTTCGAATTTCTCGTTCCACCTTAAATGGTGCCTGACGCACCAGAATGTAACTGCTGCATCATTTAAGGTAGAACGGCACAATTCGAATTAGAAGCTTGCGAATGAGAAACTGACTTTAGCCTCACAACTTTTTAGTGTTTGACAGTTTCTTGTTGCAGATTAAAAGTATCAGCTACAGTGCTTGTAAATGCAATAAGTCAGTTCATCTCCAAATAATCAATGTTCATCTTAAATCTTTCTCTTTGCCATTTTGTTAGCTAGGCGAGATTAGTGCGCCAACCTTCAGGGTTAAAGGGTGAATTAGCATTTCTCCAGAGTTTAAGACCATTTATTGTTAAAACTGTGGACCCAATGAAAACCTTCTGCAGCAACGCTGCACATTGAGCGCTCATGACTGTAATTTAGCTACAACTAACTCGGCTATAATATTCTAATTATACCAATAGTTAGTTAAATGTTCCTTTATGGATCCATACAGGACACAGTGTGTGATTCAGCATGTCAGAATAAAGAAATTAATTGAATTATTAAACACAAACACTCAGACCCAGGATTAACTGCTCTCCATATACAGTAGTGCTTAAGGGTTTGTGAACCCTTTAGAATTTTCTATATTTTTGCATAAATTTGACTTAATACTTCATCAGATTTTCACACCTAATAGTAGATAAAAAAAGAACCAAATTAAACTAAATATTACATATCTGTGAGTGGCAAAAGTATGTGAGCCTTTGCTTTCAGTATCTGGTGTGACCTCTTTGTGCAGCAATAACTGCAACTAAACATTTCCAGTAACTGTTGATTAGTCCTGCAGATTGGCTTGGTGGAATTTTAGCCCATTCCTCCGTACAAAACAGCTTCAACTGTGTTGTGTTGGTGGGTTTCCTCTCGTGAACTGCTTGCTTCCACAACATTTCTATAGGATTAAGGTCAGGACTTTGACTTGGTCGTTCCAAAACATTAACTTTATTCTTCTTTAACCATTCTTTGGTAGAACAACTTGTGTGCTTATAGTGGTTATCTTGCTTCATGACCCACATTCTCTGTGAGTTTCAGCTCACAGACAGATGTCCTGACATTTTCCTTTTGGATTTGCTGGTCCTGGCCCAGATCCAGCAAAACAGGCCCTAACCATGACACTACCACCACCGTGTTTCACAGATGGGATAAGGTTTTTTTGTGCTGGAACGCAGTGTTTTCCTTTCTCCAAACACAATGCTTCCTTCCCATTTAAACCAAAAAGATCTATTTTGGTCTATATTGTTCCAATTGCCTTCTGGCTTGTCCATCATTTTCCTCAATAAATAAATGACCAAGTCTAATATTTTTGTCTCATTTGTTTAATTTGGTTCTCGTGATCTACTATTAGGGCTTGTGTGAAAATCTGATGTAGTTTTAGGTCAAATTTATGCAGAAATATAGAAAATTCTAAAGTGATTACAAACCTCTGTATATATGTGTGTATACATGCATTTAAGAAATGTATTTTTGTTGCCAGAAGTTATGAGGCCTTGAAGGTCCTGAGGGTTCCCCACTGGCAAAACATCCCAGTGTGTTCATAGAACAGGCTTATAAATGTCGTCTTCCTTTGTGCTTTTCCATACAGGAGAACATTTGTGGATAAGACCGTCGGTGGGAGATGAAATATGCAAGATGTTTGGAGAAAATGTCGGATCGTGTATGGTTACGAACTGCTAATTGAGGAAAAAATAAACACAAGACGGGATCTGTTCTGATGGCATGTGGGTGCAAAACATGAACCTTCACAGATAGGTGAAGGCAAGACTGCATGTTTTATGAGACCACATGGATGAGTCCGCTTCCGCTTGAAGCTCTAAGGAGCAGCATATGGACCCAGGGACGAGGATTATTCACTGAGGAATTTTTTTTTTCTTTCCGGACAAAATGTGTCATCATTGCACAGTCCAACAGACTGGAAAACATACTCCTGGGAGATTCTAGCACTATGGCAGAGTGGACGTAAGCATTGTAGTCATTTTAGTCATGTCTGAGTCACCGCTGAAGAGAGAGAGAGAGAGTGCAGCAATAATAACAGCATCTCTAACAGGACCATGAGGGCGAGAGACATTAAGGAGACATAAAGAAAGAGAGGAAACTAGATTTTCAGTACATGTTATGGGTTAAAATGGTTAACAGATGTAATAGTACATTTATAGCAGCTAGTGAATAATATGCCTGCAATTTAGGGGTTAATATTGCAGATATAATAATTTGGTGCTCTGTTTAATACATTGTATTTGCTCCAAACTGTTTGTTAGCTGCTCTACATGCTCTTAACACGGGTTAAGAGAAGTTGTATAAAGAGGGTGAAAGAAGGACAGGCGGACTGATTTCGAACAAATGTTCCTTTGTGTCCGTCCATCAGAAAGGGAATGTGATAGTCTAGCTCACCCAGACAAAACACTCACCCATCCCATCTCATATCAAAGGCTAAATAGCTTCAGCAAAGACAGCCGTAACTGCCCGATTGGCTGATCCGTGCGCTGTTCGCTGATTAGCTGTTCCCAAACAGCAGATTGCAGTAATCCAGGGCTACAACTAATGATTATTTCTTTGGTGCATCAACAAAACATCATCTCTGCTCCACAGATGCTGCATTGATACCACTTTTGGTGGCAAACTTTGGACATTCCGGGTTTTCTTTTATGGTGCAACAAAATAATACAAGCCATATCGCCCCCTCCATTTCCTGTAGTGTATTACAGTCTGTCAGAATGCCTGTGTGGATGATATGAACATTATAGAGCACTTTTTAAATGAAACAATATAAGCCATATCGCCCCCTACACTTCCTCTAGTGCATTACAGTCTGTCAGAATGACTGTGTGGATCATATGAGCATTATAGAGCGCTTTTTAACCCTTAAACTCTAAGGACCTTTTTGGCAGGTCCAGATATGCAATTTGTACCAAATAATGTATAGTAGCTAATATTGTTATACCAAGTAATAAATCTTAATATTCAGGTTAAGAACTGAACAATAAGCCGGCAGTTTAAGAGGTGAAGTAAATCAATTAAATTAAAATCCACATTGCCCTTATTTTTATTGTTGATGTCATCGACTTTGTCAATTAATCACATCCCTACTAAAATAATTATCAGATTACAGTTTGTTGGAATGACTGTGTGGATCATATGAACTTCATAGAGAATTACAGAGGGCTTTTTTTATTTGACATTGACTGATTTTTCATCATGTATTCATAATTGCCCATTTTTAAGTATGCCTACTGCATTGACAATTCATGTTGGCCTTTTTTTTTATTGATTAACAACTGATTTGCTGACCCGTGAGCGATGTTGCGCAGAGGTCTGGTGTCGTGTTTGTCTCGTGTGGGTGCAGTTTTGGTGCTCGTGTGCTGCGTGCTCTCTCTCCTCTACGTCATCACCTGTAGCCCTCACACTGATGACTCGCTGACCGGCCCCCAGTTGCCCAGGGCGGGCCCTGCAGGGTCACCTGGAGGTCATGGTGTGCTCAGCGGTGCCCCCCAGGGCCCATCGGGTGGGCGGGAGAGTTACCAGGCGCTCCTGCAGGAGCGCGAGGAGCAGCACCGACAGCACATCTCCAGCCTGAAGAAACAGATCGCCCAGCTGAAGGAGGCCCTGCAGGAGCGCGGAGAGCGGATAAAGGGAGAGAAGGAGTCTCAGGAGAAAGGAGGAGAGAGACAGGCGGGCACCGGGGCAACTGAGGAGAGAAGCCACACTGACCTGCAGGTAAGCTCGACCTCCTAGACCTTTTAATCAATTCATAATTGGGAAATTTTACTGATGTGGACTGAATTTTATTTAATTGCCCTCCTGTAGTTTATCTACTAATGCTTTAATAAACATACCTGGTGAAAATGTGAAAAGTCATAAGCATTGAAGCCGTCAAGGAGAGCTGGCATTAATGACATGCATATGAAATGGAATGTAGAGAGCCAATCAACAGTCTAGGTTTTGGAACAAGCATATTCCTGGGCTTACAGTCATGAATGCTAAGACTGATTGGATAGGATTTTTTTGATACTCTGTAGTATTGAAGTCATTTTGTTGGTACCAAAAAAGTGAAAATTGAATTTTGATACCTGTCTGTAGTTTTTGGGCCAAGGTTACTAGTTTAGAGTAGGTGGTAGTTACATTGTATTTGACTGTATTTAATTGGTATGGCTTGGTAGTTTATGGAGTGGTTTGGTCGTTCTTGATATATTTTGGTAGTTCTTGTTATTGATTGTTAGTTCTTGGTATGGTTTGGGCGTTCTTGGTGTGGTTTGGTAGTTCTTGGTATGGTTTAGGCGTTCTTGGTGTGGTTTGGTAGTTCTTGGTATGGTTTAGGCGTTCTTGGTATGGTTTGGTAGTTCATGGTACAGTGTGGTAGTTCTTGGTATGGTTTGGTAGTTCTTGGTGTAGTTTGGTAGTTTATGGTATGATTTGGTGGTTCTTGGTATGGTTTGGTGGTTCTTGGTATGGTTTGGTAGTTCTTGCTGTGGTTTGGTAGTTCATGGTGTGGTTTGGTAGTTTTTAATATGGTTTGGTGGTTCATGGTGTAGTTTGGTAGTTCTTAGTATGGTTTGATTGTTCTTGGTATGGTTTTGTAATTCTTGGTATAGTTTGGTCATTTTTCATATAGTTTGGTAGTTCTTGGTATGATTTGGTCGTTCTTGGTATGATTTGGTCGTTCTTACTATGGTTTGGTAGTTTTTGCTATAAATTTAATAAATCTTGTTTTTACAGCCTATAAATCACTTCTTGTTACAATCGTAAATATGTAACAATCAAAAGGCTACTGTTGCTGTTGCTATGCATTTGTTAATAACTGATGTACAAATGTTGTTAGTCTTATTTTGTATTTGGTAAGGGAAGCCATTCTGTGCAGTAACAAGCATGACAGCATGTGTGAAAAAGTTCTACCTCAGGCTACTTCAGAATATTCCAAAGCCATATCAGGACTGATCCAGGACGTAGAATAACGGTACACATTAAAATAAAACAAATTAAAAGAAAACAGATTGCAAAACAAATACAGTTACTTTCGTGCATCTTAAAGCTGTGACAGCGCATCATGATGGAAATTACCAGTCATTCTTCGTGATTGTCTCAAGCCTAGTAAAGACAAGCATCTACCTTGGGACATCAAAACGAAGGTTTGCTTGAAATTTTATCTGTGATTTTTCTAATTTAAACATTTTTGAAAAGACTGGCTGCCTGTTCCTTCTAATAAATATGTCACAGTCTTTTTTTACTCTTCAAAATTTAAACACTGAAAATATCTAGCACCAGCTAACTCTGTGAACTGTTCCACTGCTGTGTGCTGTTGTGAGTGAATGGCTAGACTTCTTCAGCTCCCCCCTTTAAAAAGTAAAGCCCACCTCACCACCTATTCTACTGAAGTTGTTCATAGTTCAAGCTGAAGCTGTTCATAGTTCAACCCTTTGCTGCTAATGCTGGATTGAGTAACATAAAATATCTTAAATGTGTGTCATTGATGCTTTTTAAAGTAACTGTTATTATTATTTTTTGCACAGGTGTTTTACAGTTTCACATAAAACAATGTATGAACTGTTAATTGATCGATGTGTTATGTTGTACTTGTAGGAGTTTCTGCGCAGTCAGCTCTCCCGGGCAGAGGTTCACTCAGGTGTGCGGCTGCCGAGCGAGTATTCGGTGGTGCCATTTGAGAGTTTCACACTGCAGCGTGTGTACCAGCTGGAGATGGGGCTGACACGGCACCCGGAGGAGAAACCGGTGAGGAAGGACCGGCGGGATGAGATCAACGAAGTGCTGGAGAGCGCCATGCAGACCCTCAACACACCAAACCTGAATGGAGACAGGACCGCCAGCAAGGTCTACAGCCCCGCCGACTTCATAGAGGGTCAGTTCACTTCAGTTTGATCTGTGGAGCACTTTTTACAGTAGACATTATGACAGAAATCTGGGTCCAGCCTTTACTAGATGGAGCTACACTGCTGTAGGCTGAATAGGTAGATACACGTAAATAAGTTGTTTCTTGTGACATAACAGAAGCAGTTGTTTTTGCAGCTTGGGTTCCATATATGAACTGTATGGACTGGAGAGTAAAGGGTACATGTTGACTTTAACAGTGTTTACATATCACTTCAACCTCCTTTATTTCTAAAAAGTGAAGGAAGTTTATTTTTCCATGATATGGGCACAATAAACTGTTAAATCTTACGAATCTCAGTGATTTCTAATTTCTAAAGTAATTTCAGAAGCTTGGTATAAATTTATATGAATAATTTCTGACTCATAGCTCATTGAAACAGGTGGAGAAACTGTGAAAAGTGTAAATTCTAAGCATTCCATTCACACCACAGGTTTCCAAGTAGAAGAGCCGATATAATATTAAGATTTAAGGTTTATATGCACTTAATAATCTGACAACTGCCAAAAATCTGTAACTGATTCAGTGTGTTTTAATGCTATTGAGTAATCAGATAATAAGGAAACTCCAGGTCTACTTGAGTCAGGCAGTAATCGGATTTCTGCTTTACAAACAGCCAAAAAACTCACAGAACAAAACATAACGTAAATGTAACGTAAAACGCAAACATCATTTGTGGCTTTTTTTAAAACTTGAAGTCAGTTTAGTGGAAAATATGAACATCATCTAGAAGATGAAGAATATTTAAATCCTTCATTTCATCAAACATGTAGTCGGCTTCAGCGTCGCTCCCAAAGTGTTGTGTAGCGTCTCGCGGTGCTGTGTAAAACGCTGCTTGCTGTTTTTGGGACAGTGCTCTGTTTTCATACATGTGCAAACTTAGAGAAACAAAAGAAATCAGAGTAAGGGTATGCATGCACTGAGAAATCCAATTACTGAGCGCAAATCCAGCCTCTTTATCAGATTTCCAGAAATCCGATATTGGCTTTAATCTGATCTAAGATATTGGAGTACGCTGTTTACACGATCGCCTTGGTAATCAGATAACTGATTGTAGTGTTGGTGTGCATGTAAATGCACTTGCTGTGTATGCAGTCTTGTTTTGCAGAAAGAAAAACATCCTTTACATTTTTTGTCATTTTTGGAACATAAAATCAAAAGCACATATTCATTATAGAATGGGAGTCAAATGTTCATTCATTGCATAACTATTTACTTAATGATGTCATTTAAATAGTACATCAAATTAACAATAGCTCAACATCAAAGGAAGGCTATAAATGAATGAATGCAAACAGGCGTCATTCCATCAGCTTCAGCTCTTCTCAGAAATGGATCTCACAGATTTAGTCTTACATTATAGATTATGAATATTTCAAAACAAGCTGGTCTTTCATTCTGAATAGTGAAAACTTAATAAACAAATAAATGAATTAGCAGTGCTATTGTTATTTTCAGTAATTAGCACTTTTGGAGAGATGTCTCACAAACTGTGAATGTTTGGTCACACATATTTTAATGTGAATAATCCAAAAACAGGTGAGATCTTCAGTTCTGGATTTGTACTGTTGAGTGTCAGAGAGGAAAATCACAGCAGCAAGATATATTTGGCCACAAAAAGGTCACATGAATAAATTGTGAAGCTCCTGCTGACACTTTTAGCCTCTCTTGCTTTCTCTCGCTCTCTTTCACTCACTCTTTTCTCAAAGAACATCAGAGATGTGTTTCCACTGTGGCTTAGTTTCAGAGCTGAGTGATATGGGGAGAAAAAATGATTGCTATGAATATTTTACTAAAGTACCTCAATAATGCTAAATGTAACGATAATTAAGAGTAAATAGAGAAACAGCATTAATTACTGTTACTGAATTTGGCATAAAAAATGACCATGATACTGTAAATGAATTTAATGAACCCTTAAAATCACAGGCGTATTACATACTAGGCCTTATTATTCAGTAACTACAGGGCTTCAATGCAAACCGACTGAGCTATTCTTATGTTATAGAAGAGTGTAATAAATCTTTTGGTCCTGGTCATTTAAGAGGTTAAACGGAGTTATGATGAAGTTTCGGAGGAGGCTGATGCCCAAAATTCTCCTCTACCTTCTACACCCTATAAATTGTCCCCTCTCCCTTCAGCTTTCCTGTGACGAAAACTTTGCCTCTCCCCCACCATCCCATCTCCTCCCACTCTTCAATGATTGCTCTTTCTTGCTAAGGGACGGGGCTGGGAAGGAAGGACTTCCTCCATCTCAGCAAGCTGCCCCAGAACGTCTGTGCAAGCTTCTTAAAGTGTAAAAAACTCGACGCCTCTGACTGTTAAAGGATTATTTCAGTCTTTACAGGGTGACTCACAGCAGCGCACACTCACCATATTTTATCCTGATTTTGTTCTCCTCACTCAGTAATGACAGTTTTAACAAAAAAAAAATACATAGTGCAGCTTTACAGAACATTTTGTAAATGCCTCAATAATAATTAACAGTTCTCTTGTAGCATCTCTAGCGTTTGCTGGCCTCTGACGGGACTTTCCTGGCCTCATTTTCTGTAGCATCACTTGAATAATAATATTTTTTGTAAACAATTAAGTTTATTATATAAGGAACATTCATTTCATCAGAAACATGCAGAAAAGCAGGAGGGGTGCTGTGGAAGAGTGGAACTCAGCATCAGTGACACTGTGTGAGAAGGGCAAGGCAGCATGAGGCTGGAGTAATGACCTGCCCTCCCACTTGGCGAAACTGATATTGTTTGATATCGATAAATATCATAGTCATGTCTGCACAGAGACGTTTCTGGCCTCCTGAAAAAAATCTTTTGCCTTGCTTCCATTCCCCACCTCTCCCCAAATTCATGAGGTTTAAATCTACGCTCTTAAAAAAGATGGTTCTTCAAGGGTGCTTTAGTAAAAAAAGTGGTTCTGTGTAGAACCAAGAACACTCAAAGAACCATTTGCATGCTTAAAAGGTTCTTTGCATGGTGAAAACATTCAGATTGATGGAAGATGTGTTGTATATGGTTCTATATAGAAACCTTTTTTAAAAAAGGGTTCTATATAGCACCAAAAAGGGTTATTACAAATTTGACATTGTAGCAAGAGCAAAAGCTTTTTGGTACTGAAGAACCATTTTACCATGCAGAGAACCATTTAAGCATGCAAAGGGTTCTTTGAGAGTTCATGGTCTATTCAGAGCCATTGTCTTTTCTCTTGAGAAACCGTCTTTTAAAAAAGTGTAGGCACCTCCAACCCCATCATTAATCATTGGTGCTGGAGCGCCGCTTTGATTTGCTCCTTGTTGAAATGTCCATGTTCTTATTTATAGGGAGCACCCTACATGAAAATATACGTAGGACATTTTAATAGCCTAAGTGACCCATCAGAAGGTAAATAAAAGCATTAAGATGTTTCTACATGATACACTGTTTATATTAATGGACAATTTTCCTTAATTAGTTCAAACTACTGTCCTGCAGTAAAAAAACAAAAAAAACAAACTTAATTTAAAAAACAATTATGTATTCGGAACTTAGATATTTACAATGACTATGTTATGATCTATTCAAACCCAAGACATTAATACTGATAATAATAAGCTAAATATGTGCAAAATCATCATTCATTGAGTACTTCCTATTAGTTGGTGTCTGTCCCAAACACTAACCCCTAAATTTACGCTTGGGAACGTAATACTTATTACTAAATACTTATTATCTTTTAAATTAAACAAAAAACTTTCAAACCTTTTCAAAAAATGCTGTCCCACGTTTGTGTGTCACTCCTGAAACACACAGTTTTAGTCTGTAGGCGGAGCCTTATTTTGGCCACACCCCTGCATTTTAGAGCAGGAAGCGAGACTGCGTCCCTGTCCTTCATGGCCACATGGTGAGCAGTTAGATTCTATTGTTTTGAAATAATTGTGTCCCAAAGTCTGAAAATTAGTGTGGAACATGAAATGTCGCTACCAAAACACATATTTTCTGTAATTACTTTATAACTAACGTTTTTGTTTTTTAATAAAAGTATGATGATTTTATGCGTGTGCAGCTGTTTAAAGCTGTGTTTGCTAGTCATGTACAGTCACTGCTGAAACATTTGGTAAAGTTTCAGTAGTGACAAAATGGAATGTTCTAATCAAATAAGCATAATTAATGTATAGAGTCAAAGCAAATGGATTTATAGGTGGCCCTGATCATAATTTTATCACCCAGGTTTATGATATCCGTGAAAAATTTGATGGAGTTCCAGTTTTAGTGGCGCTGTCTGTATTTCTAAGTCCAAAGTGCAGCAGACCGAGGTGCTGCAGTCAGGAAATCCTCTGATGTGGATACACGTGTGGACAAACATGGACGGAAACAAGCCCAGCTGCTCTATTACACACACACACACAGCTGAGACATGTCTCTGCCCCCACCTCCACAGCACACACATGCACAGCAGGGCAAGGGTTCCACTCAAAGGTCACAAACATACACACAGTCTCAGGAAATGACCGATTCCTCCTTGTGTTCGCCTTTGGAAACTTCACACACACGCGTTAGAGTCAGAGTCAGAGTGTGTCATGAGTGAAACAGCCCAACTGCCCAAAAGAGAAAAACTACTCATAGTTGCTTTCACTCATCTACATCTGCACAGACACATTTACATAGAGTACTGTGTAAAAGTCAGACACCATCCTTCATTTATATAATTTCCAGTCAAAACATTCAGTACAAGTTATTCATTTTTCAAGAGATATTTCTGAGCAGATTAGATAAGAATTTCAGTTCAAACACTGATTAAAAGCTGCAGAGAAAATGGAGCTCCTAACAACCACCAGGAAGACCTGGTAGACACCAAAACTGTCCCCATCAGATAAACAACACTTAAAGCTTTCATCTTTGAGAGAGAGGAGAAAATCAAGCTGCTTCACATCTGAAAACATCCACAGGTGTTTCTGTCCATCCTTCCACTGTGCGAAGACAACTCAG